GATTCCAGAAACTCAACAGAAGAACAAAGTTCTACAAGCAGAGAAAAGAAACAAATCACATACAAAGGAAAGCCCATCAGAATCACAGCAGACTTAGTGCAAACCCTCAAGGCAAGAACTTGGAGTGACATATTTCAAGCCCTAAAGGAAAATAGCTTCCAACTGAGATTAATGTACCCTGCAAAACTATCTTTCAAAATTGATGGAGAAATAAGATATTTTCATGACAAAGAGCACCTTGGGAATTTCATGAATACCAAACCAGAACTCCAAAAAATTTTAGACGATATCCTAGGAAAAGACAATGAGGATCACAACCCCAGGAAGCACAGCAGAATGAATCCATCAGGTACAAAAATAAATTAAATGTAAAGGAGGAGAATCCAACAAAAAGAAAAAGTCATGACAATGATAAGTCAATAGGTATCAGTTATAACCATCAATGTTAATGGTCTCAATATACCAAACAAAAGAAATACACTGGCAGAATGGGTCAAGAAGCAAGATTCAACAATATGTTGCATACAAGAAAGACACTTAATTCAAAAAGAAACCCAGACAAAGTTAAAGGGTGGAAAATAATACTCCATGCAGTGGGAACCTAAAAAAAGGCAGGAGTAGCTATCCTCTTTGCAGATGAAGTGGATTTCAAATCAACACTGATTAAGAGAGACAAAGAGCCCAGGGATTTAGTGCAGTGGTTCCACCACCTGCCTTGCAAATGCAAGATCCCGAGTTCAGTCCCTGGTACCAAAACAAAAAGAAAAAGAGAGAGACAAGAGGGACACTACATCCTTGTAAAGGGAACAATCCTACAGGAAGAGATGACAATCTTAAATATATATACACCAAACACTAGTGCACCCAACTATATAAAACAAATACTAACGGACATGAAAAGTAAAATATGCACTAATACAGTAGTAGTGGGGGATCTCAATACCCCACTGCCACAAATAGATCAACTAGACAAAAAATAAGTATTGAAATACTAGAACTCAAACTCTTGAACAAATGAACTTAACAGATGTTTACAGAGTGTTACACCCAACAAAATCAGAATACACCTTTTTAGCTGCACATGGGTCATTCTCCAAAATAGACCACATACTTGCTCATAGAACATGTTTAAGTAAGTGCAAAGGAATTGAAGTTATCCCCTGTATATTATCA